ATGGACCACCTATTTGCTTCTTAACTTAAATGGTAAAAGTTTCAGTGATCTAATCTAATGTTCACAGGGCAGTGAGCATTATTACATGGCAAATAAGAAAAATAATGAATACCATGTGTGAAAACTACAGCTAGAATAATATCTGAAAAGCATATTGCACTCAGTACACGCCTAGGTTGCATTGCAAAGGACCACCCTCTGTTTGTGGAGCCACTGGGAAGAAAAACAGACCTTTATGATACACACTGGATATATAGTCTTTTTCTGTAGGATATGTTACTGCTCCCCCAGAAGAAAAGGCAACAGTAGAAAAGAATTGTGAATAATTTCAATCTTGATGCAGACCATATACATGTATATCATAGACACAAATCTTGGAGAAGAAAATAAAATAGCACTTTCACGATGCTTTTAAATTAGACATTTGGTCACTTTTGGTACTTAGACTGTGTAAGATTTAGATTTTCTCAGCCATGGACATGTGGTCTGTGATAAACATTAGAAAGAATTAACTTGTGTAATATGGTTGGTACAGGATTTTATGGAAATTGTACAAATATAGAAATAATGTAAAAGTCAAGAAAGTAAACTCTGATGGGTAAAGTAGTAACCTTTCAAGAGTTAGAAACAAGCATTGGTAGAGCACCTGCTATGCAAGCATGAAGGCCTGAGTTCAAACCCCAGTCCCACCAGAAAAAATAAAATAACAAGAAAGTGTGGTTACACATACCTGTAACCCCAGCTACATGGGTGGTGGAGACAGAAGGATTGCAGTTTGAGTCCAGACAGGGCAAAAGTTATCTGAAAAATATACTAAAAATCAAAAAGAGGTGGAACATGGCTCAATGGTAAAGCACTTGGCTAGCAAGCACAAGCCCTGAGTTCTAACAGGAGTAACACAAACAGAAAAAAAAAAAAAGGAATTAAAAATGGCAGTAGAAGTAGCATGTTCTGGAGAATTTTGGGTATGTAGTTGAAGAAATTTAACATGTGCTATTTCTTGTACCTGAAGTGAGCTTTCCTCGCCTGTCAAGGCCAACATCAATTCTACCTTGCCAAAAAGAGCTCCTGTAGCCCCTGCCAATCTCTTCATCTTCCAGAATTACTAAGTACTGGTTTTGCATGACTTATAATTTAGTTTTGCTTTATTGTAACTCCCATTTTTCACATGGATGTTTTGAAAAGAGTACAGGTTGAGCATCCCTTATCCAAAATGCTTGGGACCCCAGAGTATTTCAGATTTGGGATTTTTTCAAATTTTGGAATATTGGCATATGCAAAATGAGATACCTTGAGGATAGGAACCAAGTCTAAAGGCAAAATTCATTCATATTTCAAATAATATTCACATAATCAGAAAGTAATTTTATACAATATTTTTGGTGTGTCTGTATTATTGACTGTGACATGTCACACAAAAACAGGTATGGATTCTTCCATGTGTCATGTTGGCACCCAAAAACTTTTGGATTTTGGAGCATTTCCAGATTTTGAATTTTTATTAGCATATGTTAATTGTACAAAGGGGTTTCATTGTGATACTTCTGTAGATACTTACAGTGTTCTTAAAGTTCACCTTACAACCTCTATTCACCCTTAACCTCTATCTTTCTCCCTCCTTTTTCAACAGAATTTACTGGGTTTCATTATAGTATTCAATGTGTATGTATATATATATATTTATTTATGTATATATACTTATGTATAAATAGCTGTGTACATATGTATGTACGTATCTGTGTATACATATATATGCAATGTATTTCAAACATGTTCACTCTCAAGTACTCTCTCCTTTCCCCCTCACCCCCTTACACTGATTACCCAGCTCAGACAGTCCCTGGTTTTTGCTCATGTCCCATTATTGTTATTAGTATCATTTTAGGTCTAGATTCTATATACCAGCAAAAACATACAATATTTGGCTTTTTGAGCTTACATTATCTCACTCAACGTGACAATCTCCAGTTTCATCCATCTTCCTGCAAATGACATAATTTCATTCTTCTTTATGGCTGAATAATACTCCATTGTGTATAAATATCACGTTTTCTTTATCCATTCATTGGTGTTGGGTATCTAAGCTGATTCTATAGCTTTGCTATTGTGAATGAATAGTGCTGCAATGAACATGGGAGGGCAGGTATCTCTCTTGTGTAATCACTTATACTCCTTTAAATGTATGACCAAGACTGGTATAGCAAGGTCATAGGGGAGGCCTGTTTTTACTTTTTTTGAGGAGCCTCCATGCTAATTTCCATAGGGTTGTACTAATGTACATTCTCACCAACAGTGGGAATCCTCTCCAGCATTTGTCATCGTTACTTGTTTTCTTAACAATAGCCACTCTGACTGGGGTGCAATGGAATCGCTACCTCATGTTGATTTGCATTTTCTTTAAGGCTAAGGATGTAACATTTATTTATGTATTTATTGGCTATTTATATTCCTCTTTGAGTATAGTTTGTTCAGTTCATTTGATATTTATTAATTGGGTTATTCTTTTGGTCTTTAATTTTTGAACTCTTTGCATGTATTCTGGAAATTAATTCTTTATCTAATGAATAGCTTGCAAAGATTTTTGTCACGTTCTGTGAGTTATCTCTTCATTCTGGTCATGTTACAAACCTTGGATGGCTCTTCTGAGTGAGGTTTCTGCAACCAAAAAATGAAGAATTTCAACCAACAGAATTATAGACAAAGTAAGGTCTTTATCCTGCATAACAAGTTTGTGGATTTATATTTGGAGTTAAGTGTTTTAAGAATGTATATTTTATTTTTTTATGACTCCCCACTTAAATCTGACATCTTTGTTTAGCAACCTGAGTCTATTCGAAATTAATTAGAATTGAGGACTTCTGATGTTTCTTGGATGTTCTTCCAAACCAGTAGTCCATTTGTCACTTGGTAATGGAAGACTATATGTCCTTAGTAGTTATCATGTACTTTGAAGGCTGTCTCTCATACATAATTGTTTTTTTCTTTTCTTTTCTTTTAATGGGTGTTGTTCTTTTAAGGGTGTTTTTAACTTTTCACTTTTAATGGCTGAGTTAGCCATCCCTGTGAATTTTAGTGAAAATGTTCAGCTAATTTTAATTTAGAGATACTGAAAATGTCAAGCAGAGAACATGCTGGTTGACTATAATCACCATGAAGAAAGAAAATAAAGTTCAGTCCAGATATTTTCTGACTCTTCTTTAAATCACTAATTTTAGCTCACCGTGCAGGTTCAATTCATGAAAAAGTATGACCTTGTCCTAACTCCATGGAGTCCATGGTGTAATTTCATAATGTATTTATACTGTGAGCCTCTTAAAAGGGATTTGATAAAAGTTTCTGAAGGATTCTCTCTGTTTACATCAATTTCTCATTTGCTTTCTAGAGAATTTCTGGTGAGCATTCTTTTTTGACATTTACTAAATGTTAGCTGCAACCCATGTTTAAATCATTGGCCTAGAGCCAGTAGGCTTACCAATTTATATTAGCCTGTTAAGAAAAACTAAGTAAAATATGAAAATTGCTCTGAAGAAGAATGGAGGCTAACAGTGAAATAGCCCAGTAATAGCCTGATATTCATTCCCTTGCTGAGTTCACCGTTGTGTCATTTTATACTGTTGCCAGACTCTGAAAGGAAATCCAAAGGAGAAATTAAAAATCATTCTTTCATACAGTAAAAATAATTATTTCATATAGCAACCATTCACGAGTACCTATTCTGGATCAGGCACTAAAAATGCAAGGAAAAAAGACTGGTTCACTTTGCAAGCAACTCACAGGTTCATACATTGACTCTCCAGTTTGAAATAAAAGCCAGAGCTGCTGTGGTTCATTCCATTCTTTGAGCAGTGGTACCTCCTGAAAGCATACATTTGTTTAGAACACCCACTGCTAGGAATTTTTCCTATGAAATAATTAAAGTATGCAGAAAGGTTTCAATTCTCTTAGAGTACTGATCTTCATTTTTAAATAGAATAACAAATGATGTGCCAGATGTTTCAGCAAGTATTTATTAGACATCTATGACATTTCACCTGGGTAAAAAAATTAGCTCTGGGATGTTTTTCTTGTCCACTAATATCGTGTGTGTTAGTTGTTTTCTACAATTAATTACTATCTTAATATTTCACAGGACCCACTCATTGTTTAGTCTTCCTGTCTTTCTCTGTAATTTCCAACAAAATATGGACAATATATGTTACTTCTACTAATATGCTCTGTCTTAGAACACTTCTGTCATTTATTTCTTCAATGGTTTTTAAAAGTGTATGAAAAATCACTCCAAATTCAATACCAAGTGTAATTTTAGCATAGATACTCATGTCTTCTGTTCCCAGTCCATATCTATAGAAAAAACTGCCTGATTTCTAAGTGAGAATCAGTCAGTGGCTTTGGAAGGAAGTGAAGCAAATGAACTGTAATTAAGCACTAAGTGTTTACGTTGGTTGAGATTCACAGCAGTGCTGAGAACAGGTGGAGAGGTGAACCAATTCCCTACTATTAATTTAAGTACAGTTTTAGTTGTTGTAAGCATAGTATAGTTTAGTTGTGCATTATAGTAAGTTGTACAAGTGTAGTAAGTACATTATGTAAAACCAGCTTTCAAACGCTCAAAACTTTTACTTTCCAGATACTGTGGGCTTGTTCAACAACCTTCATGATTTTCTCTTTAATTCAAAATGAAGAATTAAAGATTCTGGTATTACTTGTTGGGAAGTAATGGAATTTCTGAATTCAAATGTTATTTCTTTAACAAGTTATACCAGTGTTTAAGAAAGTATTATAGCTTCTGGTTATCACTAGAAATTTACTTCTAGGATTTTTTTTTTTTTTTTAAATTTTCCAGGTTAACAGAGAGTTAACATTTTCAATCCTGAGACGTTTCCTTAAATGGTATTTTTAGAGAACTAGTCATTTGGATCTTTTTCTCATTTAAAATGGTGGCATTTCAAAATTCCTTTTTTCAGAGAACAGAAGTAATTGATTACTTGTTTTATTCTAAGGGTTTCTCCTCTTCAAAAATCTGAAGTCGTTGAGATGGTGAAGAAACAAGTCAAAGTCATAACACTTGCCATTGGAGATGGCGCAAATGATGTCAGCATGATACAGACGGCCCATGTTGGTGTTGGGATAAGTGGCAATGAAGGCTTGCAGGCAGCCAATTCTTCAGATTACTCCATAGCGCAGGTAAAGCATCATTGCTGCAAATCACAACATCATTCCTTTTAGTCTGCTAACACCGTGAAGAAGAAAATACTGATTTTTTTTCTCATTCTTGTTTTAGTTCAAGTATTTGAAGAATTTGTTGATGGTTCATGGTGCCTGGAACTATAACAGAGTCTCTAAGTGTATCCTGTACTGCTTCTACAAGAACATAGTCCTCTATATTATTGAGGTAACAGCAGGCTAAACTTAAAATCCTTGCAGATTTAAGTTTAAGATTTAAACTTAAACGTGCACACAGTTAAAGAAATCTTCTTTATGAAGACATTTTCTCATTGTTTTCATTAGTATTTTCTTTCTTTTTATAACTTCTAAGCTTGTTCGAACATAAATGGCTGTCAGCTGTGGAAAAAAATTAATATGTAAATTCTGGCTAAAAATGTTGTATTGCTTTGGTAGAAATGGTGAGTTAGAATTGCTAATGAGGTCTTGTTTTCAGTTTTTAAAAGACTATTAACTGTATAATTTTTTTTAAGTTCAAAAAATATACCGAAGAAAAGAGTCCAGTGCTGAGGGATAGTATACATATGGAAAACTGTATTTAGAAAGAAAAGTATTGATCCCCAGCACTTTAAAAAAATACAAATTTAAAAAAGAAAAATAAGGAGATGATAAACAGGAAACTGAGAATAAAGATTCTAATTCTGAGAGAGGCAGAGTAGTTAAGAAGGATACACAAGATATACAATAGTTTGATTAGTATTGGTTGTGTGGTAGTTCTTATTTCAAAACTTAGATCTGAGTTATATTCAGGTATCCCTTGCTATCCAGATCTGTTTTGGTTTCTGAGTTTGATACGTAACAAGAGTTCAGATAATAAGGAATTTACCTAAAAAATCAGGATATTCATTTCCTCTGTCTGGATGGCAAGGGATTTCTATGGTTCTTTCACATATCAAATCATTTTAAACAGGAAGGTTTGGATCAGAAATGGCACTTCTAAAATGACACATTTTGTTCCTCAAATATTTTTGCAGCACCTACTCTGTGCCAGGCACCAGACCTAGCCTAGCAGCTATAAAGTTAACCAAGCATGGTTTCTGTCCTCCATGAGCTGGCCAGTGGAAAAAACACTAGAGGCCACATGCACAAGTTTAAGTTTCCTAGGAGCCACAAAACCAAAATGCTAAAGTGAAGCTCAGATAAATTATAATGTCATATCTTATTTAACTCAATATATCCAAATGCCATTTTTCAATATGTAGAGAGAACTTTCTGTGTTCTACATTCTTTTCTCCATCTAAGTGTTCAAAACCAGGTGTGTATTTTATATTTATAGCACATCTCGGTTTGGACTAGGCCCATTTCAAGTATTTTAGAGCCCAAGTGGCCGGTGATGAAGGATAAATAAGTAATCTGAATGATTATTCAGGATGTGTTGAATAAGTTGCTTGCTTTTTTAACATTGGGCCATTAGATCATCAGAAGCTCCATTGTAATAATGAAACCCTGGTGTTATCAGTTTCCCTATAGCTCTGCATCAAAGAGCTTAAAGAAAACACTCCTTTTTCCACTCCCACAGGGACCCACCCACGCACTCATAAATCTGCTCTGGCTTCCTTACAGGTGTCTATCTGTACCACTTGCCCTCCATCCAGTTGACATTTCTATGTCTCTGTCAGAAAAAAACATGACCTCACCATTTTCTATATGGATCCCATATTTTACATCAGAGAAGTAACAAACAAATCAATTGATTCTGTATCTGCTGTTGGTTGAAGACTGTGTATACTTGGCTGAGCACTCTTTGTGCTTCTTCAGAATACCTGTCTCCTTATTAACATGTTGATTGAGCATAATTCTTATTGTAAGTCAGACTAGTAACACTGAAACTTAATTTTTAAATCATTTTTATTATATTATTGTTGTACTAGGGTACATTGTAACATTTATCAAAGTTCTTACAATATATCGTGGTTCAGTTCACCCCCTGCATCATTCTCCTTTATCCCCCATTCCTGGAATAGTTTCCATATGTCTCATTTTTCTTTTTTTTCTTTTTAATTATATTGTGCTGGGTGGGGGTATATTGGAGTATTTTCAAAAGTTCTTAACATGTCTGATTTTCCCCATTTTCATACGTGAGTTCCTAATATTTCCACCACAATTACCCTCCTACACCCATTTCTTATATCCTTTGCCTTCCCACATGGTACTAATCCCCAGACAGGACCTATTTTACCTTCCTGTTCTCTGTTTTTGAAAAAAGACATTTTTGTTTGTTTAAGATAGCTATACAGGAAATTTCATTATGACATTTCCATGTATATATATATAGCATAACCCAAATTGGTTCATCTCCTCCATTTTTCTCCTTTCTACCTTAGTCCCCTTCTTATGGTAATTGAAACTTAATTTTGAAGTGTGCAAACAGTGTCACTTATTAGTCACTAAAAATCTATAGTTAGGCTATAACCCATGAGGTACAATAACCAAAAATAAGCAGGGCATAGTGATACAGATATGTAATTCCCAATTATACATAGTGTAATTCCAGTATTCAGGAGGCCGAGGCAGGAGGATCATGAGTTCAAGACCAACCTGGGCTACGTAATGAAGCTCTGTCACAAAAAAACAAAATATTAGTAAATAACCAAATGCTTAGACACACAAACAAGACATTACATGAATTTCCATTGTGTCTTACTGCAAAATTTGGCCTGGGAATAATCTGTATTTAAGGCAAAGTGAACCCCAAAATTGTGAGATTTTAAAAAATTCTTTTTATATACATAAACTTGTGATTATTTCCTAAAAATAATTATTTTTTTTTCTCATTCCCCCTCCTGTATATCTAACTTTTCTAATTGTTTTTTCATCCCAAAATGTGGACATTCAAAAGAATATTATAGTTTATTTACATATACTTTTGAAGTCTTTTAAGACAGTTTAAAGCCTCTGCCTAGCAATAAATCTGCTTTAAAAATTAATTTTACAAAATGGAATATTTCTAGATCAATTGATAATCAACCGCATTTACGTTGATAATCAGCAATGAAGCAGAATTTATGTACTAATAAAGAAAAGAAAATGTACTAAACTCAGATGAAAACTAAATTTGCACGCTCTGTTTCTACACAGAGTTATGTGATTTGTGGTTGATTGGCCCTAAGTTTCACTTGGCTTCGAATTTAAAGCCTCTTCATGAGATATTTAACACTGATCACATTCTTTACACGTTGAAAAGGAAGCAAGCTCTAAACTTTACTGGAAATCTCATTTTTATTTTTCTTTTAGCACTTTATGGAAATGTATTTTGAATATAATTCCACTGTCTTGGAAATGAATCGACCTTTTAAATCAATTCCCAGATTCCCAACTTTTGCCAGCTAAAACAAGTTCTGCAGATGTTAATGGCTCATGTCAATACTGTGAATGAATAGACAGAAAACACATCATTGAATGTCTCTAGCAAGGACAACTGCCAGTCTCCAGTCTCTCCTTTCAGTTTTTTGTGCTGATCAGGCGTGGGAGCAGAGAACTCATTGAGTATTTGTAAGCTGCTGTTTAATATGCAGAAATGCTCCAACAGGAAAATGTCTGTGAAGCTTTAGCTGCCACGCCTCTGCTGGGAGGTGGAATTTAGAAATAATACCAGGAAAGGCAGGTCTGAAGTTGCTTTACTAATAAAGGAATAGTCTTGAACACTTTGGGTTTTATAGAGTATCTGCAAAGACTGCTTTCCCATTGTTATACTGCCAGGAATATCAGTGTCTCGCTGCTCCATCACTGTAAGTTACAGCTATACAAATAAATACAAGTTCAGCAGGAGGCAGTATGATGTTCTTATTTACGGGAGCTTCCTGGCAGTAGTTCTAGGTGTTCTTTTAAATTAAAGAGATTTTTTTTTTCTCTGAAATGTCTGACTCATTCTTAGCAAAATAAGGTCTTTTCTATCAAATAATTGGTTGCATCCAGACTTTCTGGTAAGACCTCACAACATTATTTTTTTCTAATTTCCAGAAGTTTTGATTATAGTCAGTAAGGTGAGGCTTTCCCAGCAGCTTGTGCTGGGAAATAGATTCCTTGTGAATTTAAATAGTTGACACACCTCCCCAGAGAGCCTGGTGCTTTTTTTTTTCTACATCAAATGGCATTGGTTGAGTCAAAGAAGGGACTTAATGTGTTTATGGTAATTCAGGTGTTCTTATTTAGCACGGGATATGTTCCAAATAGATCATTTAGCTGCAAGTCTAACCTGACTAACCTGAAAGCAGCCTTCTAGTAGACTACTGTTCACCATTTTTTCTTTCTTTAAAATAAGAAACTTGAATACCAGAATATTTGTGTGAACATGTAGATACTGTCTTATCTAGTCATTTTCTTTCCCTTTTTTAAAAAAAGACATTCAAATGTGAACTTTTAAAAATATGGAAAGTAAATTTGTAAAAAATGTTCACCTGCCTTTCAGTAAAAACAAGAAAATAGTGACCATGTGTTAACTCTACACTTAAAACTTCTGTGTCTTAAAGTAGTTAACTTATGCATTTTAAAATATACTTTAAATGCAGACATGTTGATGATTTATTTGTAAATTATTTTGAATTTAAAACTTTCTGTATATATTCATTGGTTTGAGAGAAGGTTTAAACTCACAGTAGCCTTTGAATCAGCACCAAATGTTACATACAAAGAAACTGAAGGGAGGGGGACTGCTCACATTTACAAATGTCTACCCACCTGTAAATTTTACTGCATGAACTTATAGTTTTGATAATTACAAATGCATTTAGAGGTATAACCTTTGAGCCAAATCATATCCATTTAGACAAATTTAATGTACTGAGAGCCTCAGCATTATTCAGAACAACTAAGATTAGACTATGTCTTCATAGACTAGAGAGTCCATATAATTGAAAGTTTGTGTTTAAAATTCTTTATATTTCCATCAGACCCAAGAAATCTGAAAGAGCTTCTAATGTATTACTAGAATAGATTATAGTTGCCATCAGGAAAATATAACCATCACCCAAGTCTCACAAATACATATTTACATAGTCCATATCTCAAAAAGGCCAAATGCAAAAAAAAATGGCATTAAAGTCTGTTTTATCGACTTGTGTATACACAGGAGGAAAGAATAAATTTAACTTTGTGTGAAGATGCTAAGTTCTTTTAACGTTTACGTGCATGACCGATCTGGCTTCTTGTTTAGGGCAAATGTTAAAAACATTTAGCAAAGTAAGTAAGAATTCCAGATTCGACTCCAATTTCTATGCTTTTGTTATTGTCATTAATGTGTTACAACCCCAACACAATTTGGACTTATTTTTCATGTGTTATTGCTACTTTGTTTTCTTTTCCATCTCATGAAGGAGACATTGGTTTAAATACATGCTCAGTCATTCCCTTCCACTATAAAAACAAAGAAAATCGGTGTGGGTACAGAAACTGGTCATAGGGAGGCCAGCCTGGGTACATATTGATAAATGGTGAATTTCTAGCAATTCATGCTTCCATAATGAGGTTAAATGAAACATAAAGTATAGCAAAGTCTCCACGACTCTGATTCACATTCACTCTAGCCACATGTGGAAAGTGCTTTCACTCTGACGGTTTTGTTATTATTATGTTCTGTGTTTGTGTTTATGTAATCTCATTGCTGGACTAGCCTTTTAACTCACCTAAGTCAACTTGATTTTTAATTATATTTTAGGCTTTCTTTTAAAAAATAAAAAAATAATGTAGGTATTATTAACTTGTTAATAATCACTTTAATTTTCTATGTTTTAATATGTTGGAGAAAACTGTATATTACCCCAAAATTTGGTTTCCAAACTTAAGATTTCTGTTTTAAAGAGAGTTTTAAATATATAAGAACATTATGGTCTAATAGGTAAAGATTTCATTTTATCCAGGCATAAAATTTAAACCAAAAATGCATCTTAAGAAGAAAAAAGACATGTAGAGTTTCAGTTCAGAAACATACTTACAGCAAAAACTATCAGCAAGGCAAACGTCCAAAATAATTAAATCCACACTGTAGAGGTTCTAATATCCATTAACAATGCCTTAAAAGATACGTAAAAACTTAATAAAATGCATATTTCAGAATTTCCAGGGGAAGGAACAGAATATGACAACATACACAGTAGGCTTCAAGGAAAGTGAATTTGTGAATTCTTTAAATGAATTGTATGGGTACAGCTGATGCAAAAGAAAATGGTGATTTTTTTACTATAGGAAATTATTTTATGAATAAACAATTGCTGCTATTATAGCAAAAATGATCTTTATATTTAAAGGTCTACATCCTGGTAGATATTTTTAAAAGAAATTAAAACTAAAAATTTAATGGTGTGTAAATCTTTTCCCTTTTAGAAACAAGATTGTAGCTAATTTTTTTAAAGCTGTGATTGATTATATAATTTTTTAATTTGACAAGTAGAACCAATTCTGACTTACATAGCAAATGCCTTATTGAAAGCATCCCTTTAAATCAAAAAGTTAGTGAAAGAATTGTCATTTTTAAGAGCATCCTGAAAATAAGATGTTGATGCTGTTGATTTTTGCAATTGTTCACTATACAACAGATTTTAAACAATGCATTGATAGTTTTTGTTTTCTAATTCTGGGATTTGGGTTGTTTTCTTACTAGATCTGGTTTGCCTTTGTTAATGGCTTTTCTGGACAGATCCTCTTTGAAAGATGGTGCATAGGTCTTTATAATGTGGTAAGTTTTACACTTTTAATAATTCCTGTTTTACTTAATCCTGTGACATAGAGATTCACCCAGCATTTGGCTGCTTGGTGTAATGACCTGTTTGTCACTTTAGATGTTTACAGCAATGCCACCCTTAACTCTTGGAATATTTGAAAGATCATGCAGAAAAGAGAATATGTTGAAGTATCCCGAATTATACAAAACATCTCAGAATGCTCTGGACTTCAACACCAAGGTAGGAACCAGTGTCTGAGCATGCGTTCAGTGGGGCTATATTTGGGGCATCTAATTTTCCACAGCCAAGGTGACTCCAGCCTGAGACAGCTCCAAGGTGTCCACTGTGTCATGACATAGTTCTTAAGGTTCTGATATAGAAAGAGAAAGTGTTTTGTGGTTTAGTCAAGTTGCTTTATTTGTTTTACAAAATTAAAATGAAACCACCCTTCAGTGGGGTTTTTGAGGTAGCAGTAAGCTGGTCTGGCAGATAGAAGTCATTGTCCTTTGGTCCTCTGGCTGTCTGTCTTTGCAGCATTGTGAGAAAATGATCTCTTCTCAGAGGGACCAATCATCTAGGACTAACAAGGGCTGGCTTTGCAAGTGTAAAAGGGTTAAAAAAAGAAGTATTCTATCCTTTCTTACCAATTTTCTGTTTTGTGAAATAACTTTGTCCTTATTAGAACTTCAGATTGATTTTATTAGGCATTAGAATTACAGTCTTGGGAAGTAACTTGCCATCTAATCATAGTACTCAGTATTTTTAAGCCTTGAAATTAAAAATATACATTTCCAACATTTTATCTAAAAATCACAGAGTGGGTTAATATTCTGCATAACAAGGCACAGAATATTTTCATCTCTTATGATCCATGGGATTTATTCATCTCAACAAAAAAAGAGATCTCGTTTTCTGCATAATTTACTTTCCTGTAAGTGTATATTCTAAAGTGTTTCTACTGGTATTTGGCAATAATTCAGGTTTCTTTAGTGCAAGTGAGGAGGAAATCTTTAATAATAATTTTTAAGAATCAAAGTAGGTGCCATTTGGAAACTCTTAACATTTATGCATTTGATTAGTGGTATAGATGCAACAAATACAGTATGCCCCACTGAATGGCGAGTGCATATTATCAGTCATCAGGTGTAACTTTTAATTCACAGTCTTAAATTTAGGATAGTTAATGTAGGAAATTTCTAATATTTATTAACTCACAAAACTCTCCAATGACACTTATTCTTAGCATACTGAGAATAAAGTGAAACAGGTGTTTTAGTGCCTCTAACCTCACATAATAAATGACAGTGTTAAATTTATAGCTAAAAGATTATTCTTCTGAGACTTAATCTTCACGAACATGCTGTTTATAAATGCCTAGCTGTACACACACATATAATTTGATGGCTTTGTTTTAAATAACTGAATTTGGTTTAATTAAAATAACAAACACACTGAAGGGTTCTTTTAATTTATTCCACTGATTCTGAAAAGTATTTCTAATGGTCTTATTTTACGGTATTACTGTTTACCATATGCAGTGTCTAAGTTTATAGTTTAATGTTTTACTTTTGAATTTTTTAAACTTATTTAAGGTGCACAGTTTATTTTAAATTCTCCCACATTGTGTAATGTTTTTTATTACCTATGGCAATCATTTTCAAATGATGGCAATTATAGTCAGGGAAGTTACAATGGGTATGAGCTGTTGTTTTCCTGAAAAAAGTGACCTGAGAGCTGAGAAACTCCATCCTCCTCATATACTAACAATAACTTTCACTGATCTAGACATCATATCTACTCAGACACAGGCCCCTGTCTAACATAGTTCAGGCTCTATAGTGCTGTCTGAATCAGGAGTTAACTTCCCAGGCCACAAACTTGGCTGTGTCACTCTTGCTTAAAAACATAAATTGATCCTCACAGGATTACCCAGTCATTCCTGCAAAGCCACAGCCTTTCATGCTCATTGTACATAACAACATGGGCAAAGTTTTGTGGCCAGGGAAGGGTACAATAGGTAGTATATAGTTTTAATGCGGAAGCATTATTATTTGTGTCTTTTGTTGTTGAAAAAGTATTTCATTATTCATTTTCTAACTAGCCCAGGCAGTTAGAAGAGTCATCAGATCAACTCAAACAAGCAAGACACTTTCCTTATCTATTTGAATATTTATACTTTGTATATACAAGTTGCCAACCATTTTTGTAGGGTTTATGAGTTTCTCAAACGATTCAGTGAAATTCTTTGATTAAATCCCATTTAAGTGTTTTAAAATCAGGGACAAATGACTACAAAATGCATAGTTGTACACACAGTGGTTGCTGTGGGTCCCAAGTGTAGAAGCATTGTTGCCTTGAATGATGATGCTTACGTTTGTTATGGTAAAAAGGGTCGGAGGTTCTGAGGTCTTGACAGGGGTTAAAGGATTAGCATGTGACAATAAGTATCAGTCAGGGAAATGGAAAAGTAGAACTAATTTTTCTTGCACCCACCTGTGCTTTCTGTCAAATAAAAACTTGTGGTAATGACATAGTGAGGAGAAGCGACAAAGGTTAATGAGTAACACAAGTTCAAATGTGTAAAGTATTGGAGCGTAAATTGGATCATACAATCCACTGTGTCTGGGTGAACTAACAAAGGAGATTGAGATCACAGTGGAAAATTTTGGAAGGCAGGCAACTTAATTTCTGTTGTTTGAACAGCTTAAAACTATTAATACATGCCAATTTTATTTAGCATAAGTTTTGTTTGCAAGAAACACTTTTAAAAGACAAAACTACAACTGGGCAGAAGGCTCTAAACAGTTTTCTATAACTTAATCTTTCACATTCATGTTACCAAGAAAGTACCAGTGATCTTTGTTCTTTTGTTCTTAAAGCACAACAGACATTAAAAAGTAATAACTATTAAGTGTTGCTGTAGTTATATGAAATTTGGTATTAATAGGTTTTTTAAAAATTGATAAATTCAGTCATAGTCACACTGTAATGATTATGTTATTTAAATGTTATGTTTTGGTACTTTTAGCATAAAGTGTATATATATTTCTGTAGCAAGAGGGCAAGAAAGCACTGTATCTTACTACCATTGAAAAATTTATACTTGTATTACATATGGAAAAGAGAAGGAGCTTTCCCCAAATTACAGTCTATCTGAAAGTCTGTTCTCCTGGAAGAATGAAAATAATCCCAACATACAGAATTTCAAAATCTGCATTTCTTGTAAATTTTGTTTTCTTTTTCAGGCAGAAATTTAAACTTTTAAATACTTGGTTTTTAAAAAGTAGGAAAAAAATTCAAGTGAAGCTGAAAAAACATTTTGAGAAACATAAAAATAAATAAATGACCCATGAAAGTCTAAGAGGCAGAAAGTGTCTGTCAGTTCTATTAATTCACAGTGGTGGCCCGGCAGAAACACATTTTGTGAATCTAGCTTATAGATAAAAAGAAAGGTCAGAGTTCACAGAGCTAGTTTATCGCAAATGGTTCTCATGGATTTTTGTTTTCCCTCAGGTTTTCTGGGTTCATTGTTTAAATGGCCTCTTCCACTCAGTTATTCTGTTTTGGTTTCCACTAAAGGCCCTTCAGTATGGTAAGTACAAAGGATATGAATGCTAAGAGATGACTTTTTACTTTTTTAGAAAAGTAACTCATTGTCAATACATGTTAAAAATTACAGCAGTGTTTCGTTTTATGGTATTTTCCTTAACCTAAAATGCATTCTCCAAAAGTTGTGCACACTTTAAAGATTTTTATTATTCCCTTGGGAGCAAAGTGATTTAATATATGCAAAGCCTTTCTTCTTCACTTCTCATGTTTTGCAAAGTTGCAGGGAGTTAAATTTTAGGGCACCTAACCCCCCCCCCAACAACATATAGTTTGAAGACAATAAGTGCTAATATTTTATGTAGTCTATTTATTATACCTATGAGGCTTGTATCAAGCACTTTAGGCTGAACCTAATCAGACATGCTAGTATTTTCAAATGAACTTGAGCCGATATTTTTAGATGAGGTTTTTAATATGTTTTATGTTCATCTTAGAGGACAAGCTTTTTTCTGCTTATTGCAAGGGAGTGATTTTATTCTGTCAGTTTTGAGAGAGACGATCATGGCGTGCTTCCTACACACATAAAAATGATAAGTAGCCACTCCAGGAAAGATCACAGTCACACTCAGGCTGGTGCCTCCACCACCATACTGTTGCTCACTCTTCTCCGGATACGTGGGTAGTCCCTTCTGGCCCTCCCTCAGCATGTGCTCAGAGAGGCCCTCCTAGATGACAAGTCCAAAAGAGCCACCATGGCCCACCTCCCGTTATTTCTTCATCGTACTTTCCTATCGAGGCACAATGTGTTTGAGTCTTTCATGTCTTTCTCCACTGTTAAAGTCAAAGTTTCAGCAGGCTGGAGAATTAGTCAGTTTAGTTTTATTCTGGGTGCTTAGAACAGTGTGCAACTTCTCTTAGGTACCCTGTAAACTGTGGGTGGATTAGCAGAAGCATGCAGCATCGATAATACAGAGAAGGCACTGGGCTCCTGTCCTTGCAGAGATTTTAATGACCTTTCTTTATTAGTTGCTCAGTAAATTACAACAGTGAATATTTTGCAATTTCTAGGCCTTTGGGATGAGTTTGTTTTTGAGATCTACCATTCCATAAAATTGACCACTTAAACATTGCAATTCAATGGTTTTTAGTATATTCATGGAACTTTATTAATATCACCATTATCTAATGCCAGAATATTTCATCACCCCATTAAAAAAAAATTAGTAATCACTCCTTGGAAACCCCTAGTGTTTCTGTCTCTGTAGACTTGCTTATCCTGGACATATCATGTAGATGGAATTATATAAGTAACTTTGGTTCATTCACTTTGCAGCATGAATCAGTACTTCACTGCTTTATTCTATTATTTTATGATATACCATATTTTATTTACCCATTAATGAATTGATGAGATATTTGGGTTGTTTGGAACATTGGGATATTGAGGTCCAGGGTATAATCCAGGATGCCATTAAGCCAAATAGCATGCAGTACACCTGAGCGTTGGCCATGTAACTTAGACTCTCTGAGAGTAGGTCCCACATCTGTCACTGCATTTTTATGGGAAGTGGCTCAAGCCATCCAGCTGTTCAGGCCATCCCTGGGGTCTGCTGCCTATGAAGACCAAATTTAGCCAAGTCTAGAAGACACTTGGTATTTTTCCTCAAAGGATGTTTTACCATACTAATGTTTGAGAGCTTTGTAATTGTTTTACCTTGCTTTTCATTAAATGAAGGAGTCTGTGGGCTTTGTTTTGTTTTGTTTTTGTGAGAATGAGAGAACAGAAGAAATAAAAAACATGCTAGATGTTCTCTTGTCTTGTCAAAGACAAGTTGTCTGCCAACCCCTTGTAAAACCAGGACCTTTTGGATTCCATGAGGTCAAATTCTCATTGTTTCAAAATGTTAATAACATTAAGATTTATCTTTTTCACTATTGACAAAAAGCAACAGTGGGTAAAACTGTTGGCATGTTAGCACAGACTACGGCAATACTGCACTGGTAGTCACTGCACCCTTCACTGCCGGATACCTGGTTCATTTAAGGTGTCCTTGAAGAAGCCATAAGCCAGAGCTTTTAATAAACCTCGCTCTTTAGTACACATCTTCATAATATTCTGAGGGACAAGATGGGAAGGGCACAGAAAGCCCTTCTGCTGCATGCTGATGTGCAGGGCTGGTGTCCAGGAGTGGTGCCTTTCAGAAGGTTCATGTTGTGAGGTAAACCAGCGGCTCCCACAGCTTCTCAGAGTATGGCTTGGACGAAAGATCCCATGGTGAGATCAATGGATTTTTAATAGAGTGAAAAAGTTCACTGATAAATTTTCAGATTCCACGATGGCAGCTAACCTTTAAGAAACTAGTTGTTGAGTTTTGATGTAGTATCAAAGAATATCCACAATTATTGAGAAAGATTAACAAAAATAACTCCCCCCTTATAATTCCATAGATGTCCCTATGAAGCTGGGTATCTCTGATGTATTTTAACCAAAACAACATATGAGACTCCAGCTGTATTCTCTTAAACTGGACATTAATGAGATTATAAAAACGTAAGGCAATGCCCATTTTTTCATTTTTTTGTTCAGAAAATATCTGTTTAGATTACTACATACTGGGTTTATTACTGCTGTTTTACATTAAACAATGCAGATTTTTTATGTTCTGTAATTTCTAATTTGGTAAATGCTGATCACATTAAGCCACATAAGCCAAAGTTTTGGGGATTCTCAATAATTTCTCTGTGTAAAGGGGTCCAGAGACCAGAAACTAGGAGAACAAGTGACTTAAACTAAATCACCACCCAAATTCTAAACCTGCTCTGCACCAGACACTGTGCTTGGTTGCATGAACCTTGATGAACCTACAAACCCTGAAGTATAAAGAGTTTATCTCCCTTTTTTAGGAGGAGAAACTGAATTCCATAGGAATAAATAAAAATAACCTCAGGTGACACAGCAGCTAAAAGAACTGGGCATGGCCTGTAGAGACACCAGCACCCCTCTCCCTGTCTTACTTCTGCTGTATTCAGACCCATTTGCCCTTACATCCAAGGCTTTGAATACATCTTCCTGAATAAGTACACAAATAAATACTTTGGTACACAAACCATGGAATTTACACTTTTCAATTATACTAATGATTTAATTATTCAGTCATTTTTATAATCATTCAATTGTAATAACAATTTTGTTAGCTGCCACTTCCTTCATGTAAAGTCATGTTTGTTAGTTATTGCTAGAATAACAAAATACATTAAAATATGCCCCTAAATTCACCCAGACCCTCAGAGAATTGTATGCCTGAACCATACAGGTGCTCCTCGGCCTCTGAGTTGCTGTTTCTGAGTCCTTTTGGTTCCATGCCAATAGCTTTATTGAGAGAAAGGATAAAGGTTCTGCTGACCCTACTGCTAACAATGTTCTCTTGTCTTAAGGCCCATACCTTTAAGTGTCCCTTGCATGATTAGTTTGGATTTTTTATTTACTTCCCTAGACCCTCCTTTGTTTTCTAACAAGCCTCTCTTCTTGCAGGTACCGTATTTGGAAATGGGAAAACCTCTGATTACCTGCTTCTGGGAAACTTTGTTTACACTGTGAGTGGAAGATTCTGCTTATTAGCATACAAAACCAAAGCCTTTCATCTGTGCTCATGTTATTTTCAAATATAAATGTGTGCATTTCTGGGCTTTCAGGTTGTTTACAATTCCCTTTAAAAATCAAGGAAGACATTTTGAGTGTTAAGAAATTATATAAATATTCTTACTGTTTGCAGTTTTGATTTTGTTTTTGTTTAATCTTTTGAGATAGGGTCTCACTATGTTATATAGCCCAGACTGTCCTAGAACTCAAGATCCTCTTGATGTAGCCTCCTGAGTACTGGGATTACAGGTGTATTCACCACACCTGTTCTGTTAAGGTTTTTTCATCATTATTTAGATTCACTGAGAATTTTCATTGCTTTTGTTTTCAGTGTTCCCTGTTTTACTCTTACTGCCTTGTTTTCCCTTTATTTCTTTGTTTTTTCTTTATCCTCAAATGTATTTTACTGCCATTGTTAACATTGTCTTACTTTCCTGAATTTATACCAAATATCAGCTGGGTATGTAGCCAGTAATTATTCTAGAAGCTCATGGTAACTAAAGTGAGAGAGATCTCCAGGCGTAAGGGACATTTACCCACGTGAGGCAAAGGATCCTCTGTGCACAAATCACTAACATAGTTTTGTGGACAAGACACAAGTCTGATATTCTCATTGCCACTAAAGAGCTGAAAAACATTTTTAAACCATGTTTCCCAAGTAAAAGTGAATGCTAATGCGTGAGGTCATGCAGTTGGTATCAGATAAATGTTCACTCCAGCCTTCAAATCTGAATTCTGTGGCCACACTCTGTCCTCTCCTCGTTTGCCTCACTCAGCCTCTGAACAGAGAAAATATTCAGCCAAATGGCAGCTGGTATAACTGACTCATGCCAACAGTTGAGAGAAAATCTGTGATAAGGTAGAGTGTGGCTCACTGGTGGAATACATGAGTTTAATCCCCAGTACCCAAAAGCAATTATATCTATTTCAGGTATTTGAATAACTGAATGATAGGAGATGAAGATTATTCAGAAACAGAGGGATTTGAGAATTTGACAAATTTGGGACTTTTCTTTCCATTGACATCGACCCATTGAAGTAGTAAAAGAAAAGCAAAAACATGTCTGAGGGACTAATGATGTGCTTTCTTACACAAATGCAAAACAGAAATAGGTAAATACTTAACAGCATAGGCTGCAATAAACCAGAGATCACTTAGGCCTCAAAAGAGTGTTTTTCCATAATTTTCTGTCAAACTATATCTCTTATCTTAGAACTTTTTATGTAGCTTATGCTAACTGATACTTTCATCTTAATGAGTTTTATCCCTACAGATCTTAATCCTAATTTGCCCCCAGATATCTTGCTGAGAAAGCCCAACTGTCTCCCATTAGCCTAACTTCACTACAACCCTGAAAAGCAGCTAAGCAAATGCTGTACACAAACCCTGAGCCCGCCTCAAAGTAAACTGGGCACTCTGGGCGTTGGGTGGTTACCACTGCCAGGCAAGCATCATGCTTCCATTGCCTCAAAGTACCCAGAGTTCTCTTGGCTATATATTTTAAATTTTATTATTCATGGTGAATAGATCACTCTAGATAATATTCCAGCCCTGAACACTATTCTGGGTGTATTGTATTTACTGTTCTAGTCTCAAAAAATAAAACAGAAATGAAAACAACCCCGTGAGGTAGCTGTGTTAGTTGTTTTTAAATCACTAGGACAAAATACCTAAGAATGAGATAACAGGAAGAAAGATTTATTTTACTCACAGTTTCAGAAATTTCAGTCCATCATGGCAGGGAGGGTATGGTGAAGCAGAGGGACTCACCCTATGGCAGCCAGGAAGCAAACAGAAGATGCCTGCACTAGTGGGATCTCGCCTTTTCTTTCCCACTTTTATTCCATCCGGGCTCACAGCCTATGAGATGGTGCTGCCCATGTTCAAGCCAAGTCTTCCCGCCTTTAGTCCCCCTTTAGTTAATCTTCTCTGGAAATGCCTCACAAACACACCCAGAAGTGTGTGTCACTAATCTCCCAGGTGCCTCTCAATCCAATCAAGATCATTATCAAGATTAACCATCACAGTGAGTAACCTTTATCAGCCCCAGTTAAGAGACACCCAGATGAGGTAACTTGCCTCATTCATTAACCAAAGTAGCTGATAGGTGTGGATGTTTTGGACACAGTCTGACTCCAGTGCATTCAAGCACTGAGCGTAGGGCAGTCAATCTGGCCCTGGTTTCCTCCTTTCAGAATTGCTAGTATACTCACCATCAATGCATGTGTGTCACCGAGGGATGGCAGACTTTCCTGACCTTCCCTACAGGGTTATAAGCATGTAAAGTTCCCGAGTCTAAACATCCAATTATTTTACTTTTAGTATTTATCTTTAAAACACTCAGGAAGTTGAGCTGTTAAGCTGTCATATTTATGAACTACAATAGCATTTCCCCTTTCTGTTTTAGTTTGTAGTGATAACCGTGTGTCTGAAAGCTGGATTGGAAACGTCGCACTGGACGTGGGTAAGGATATCTCTAACCACAGTCAAGAATTGTCACTTTTGCTTATGTGCCCCTCCAATTTCATGGTTATGTTCCATTCTAACATGATCTCTTCCTTAATCCTAGTCCACGGGCAGTCAGTTTGGAGCATTGGGAGTGGAGGGAATTTGGAAACATTGAGTTAAGCAAAGTTAACTTTAACACAAGACTTCTCAGAACCTTTAATATAATATTGTGTATTGTGACTATCCCAAGAAGCAGGAAGACTATCAAACTATGTGCTTTTTTTTAGAGGTGCCCCTCATTAGAAAATGATTTTGAAGACAAGTAAAAATAATGAAAGATCTGTCCTTGGATATTTAGAAGCAGTCTGGATAAAATAAGTTCCATTAGTTGTGCGGTTCTCTACATCTAGGTAGACAAACCTAGGAAAGAAAATGAAATTAAAGCTTGATATTGAGGGGAAAGATTGGTTCAAGAAATTTGGATTTGACAGTCATCAGCATACAGTTAATAATATTCTCAAAAACATTGTCTAACATCTTTGCAGGACAGCTAAAAGATGATAGTAGATTCTTAAAAAGGCAAAAGTCAGAGAGAACCAGCAAGGGAGATTATACAGGAATGATTACTTCTAAATTCCAGTCTACAAGCATCATAACTGTTGTGGGAGGGATTAACATTTAATGAAAAATCCAGTCAAATGTGCATGCAGTTATGTAGCAATTTCTATAGATAATATTTTTATAAATGTAGTAAACAAATAAGAGAATTATGAAAGTTATTAGTGTTTGTATAGTCGGTCTGCCTAAGTCTGTTGACAAGGATTTCCTTTTCACAGTTCAGCCACATAGCGATATGGGGCAGCATCGCACTCTGGGTGGTGTTTTTTGGAATCTACTCATCTCTGTGGCCTGCTGTTCCAATGGCCCCTGATATGTCTGGAGAGGTACTGTGTCCTCATGACTCATGATTCAACAAAACCTCAAAAATTGATATTTATTAATGAACCTCCATCATTTAACATGATTTTCCATTTTGTTGATTTATATTCAAATAGCATTTGACCATTGAAAAGCTGTTTTTAAATCCCACAGTTGGGAGAAATAAATCTCCAAAAAATATTTTAAACTTGAACATTTAACTTAAATGTGACTTATCCTTTCATAAACATAGCTGGAACAATAAAATATAATTGTCAGGAGTTTGAATCATGTTGGGAATATCCATATAGACGATGCCATTTTAAAATTAGGCCATAAATCCACAAGTACATTTTGTATAAGAGGTCTGTGGACATGGCAAGGTTTTGTCTTTGAGACAGCCCATCATTTCTTCTGTTATCTCTTATTCTAGAGAAAAGTCTGCTGCCACTAGATTAAATGCACTTTTCGAGTTGTCTTAATGACGTTGGTTTGGTTCTCATTTTGAAAGAATTAGAACATGAGACATTTCAGCCTTATCATGGTCCATTTTCAATTCTGTCTTTCAGTTTCTTGTTACACTGGTAGGAATTGAGTTATTAGGTGTTCATGGGGGAGTGTCAAAAGATCTCCTTTCCTTTAGAAGAGAGTCCAGCAGTAGGAGAGTTTATGATTTCAATTGCAGGAAATTTGACATAAAATGTATAAAAGAAAATGTGGAAAACATTTCGGGATTTCCTGTGACCTCACAGTAACTTGCAAATCAAGGTAACGTGAGCCCGTTTGCAGTACATGGTTTTACCGCAGTCACAGGAACGCTTTCCAGTGGTTTCCATGTATTTCTTGCCCCTAAGTACTGCCTGAGTACCTTTCACTTTTGACAGTCTGGTTTATAGATCTTTTTTATGAAATTTTATCTGACAGCATCCTGCTTTTTATAAATTAGCAAAATGCAGACACATTTTTAAAAATTTTTGTGGTTAAATTTATTAGAGAGCGGTATTATGTCCTATTACAGCAAAACCAGATGCATTCAGGAGTATGTACTTCCTTCCACCAAATGGGAAGGCATCTTTTTGAAACGTACACTGTGAACCCTGGAAAATTTATAGCATGTATTTTAAGGGGAACAGAGAGAAAGCTGTGACTCTATCTCTTCCTTGCCTTGGTTTCCAAGTCCTCCTTTTTTAAAGTACATGTGTCTGTCTGTAAGGATGTCTACAATGTCTGTAAGGATGTCTACATACATCTCAGATGATGGCACTTGGAAAATCCAGTTCTATTCTTTGTTTCTATTTGATGTGTCCTGACTGAACCTGCTTTTCCCCAATATCAGTTCTAACCCAATATCTTTTTCACTAGACTTAAGTCTTTGCCTCAATTTTTCTCATTTCTCAATGTTTATCTTCTAAATGAGTGACACAAGATTTTGAGACCCACATAGTTTAAGCAACTGTGAGTACTAGGTTTGATGACAAGAACTGAGTTTTTGACCACCTACTTCTAAGACAAGTGTGAAGTTTGACTGGCTCTTTGCCAACCAAATATAATTCTACCCTTGCCTGTGGAATTCCCAGTGTTACCCAAACACAGAACTTAATATCGTCTCTTGAGGCTTGCTGTGATGCTGTGCTTAATTCAAAGTGAAATGAATGTCAGTATTCCATCATGTTTTTGTTCACTTCATAGACAGTGGAAAGTGCTAACAGGAGTTCTGTTTCTTGTTGTTTTAATACTACTGAAACCTTGAATAAAGTGTTTAAATAGCTGCCACTTCATTGAAATTATGAAGAATTAATTCATCTGTAGGCTTTACTAGCTTGTCCAAAATGTAAGTTGATTTATATGTAAAGTTGGCTGATCATCTTTTCTTTTGCTTTTCTTTTGTTTTTTGTTTTTTGAAACAGGGTCTCACTATGTAGCTCAGGCTGGCCTCAAAATCCAGATCTTCATGCCTCTACCTCTCTGGGATTACAGGAGTCTTGAGTGCAGGAATAGCCTGGCTGGCCATCTTAAATAAAGTGCATATATTCATCTAACTTTCATAGCAACCTATTGCGGTATATTATGTATTACATGTGGTAATACATTGTTATAAGAAATAGCAGCAAAAGTGTAAATATCAGTATCTGCTATCTTGATGTGTTTTATGTAAACATACTGAAATATAGCCCAGGACAGCCTCCAGAGCTTAGGGTTACTTCACAGAACTCTTGGCATGGTGAGCAGGTAACTTTCTGTCACCACCACTAACAGGGCCATAAGCGTCTTATCCAGAGACTATGTAGGCCCCTTCAGTCCCATCCTTTCCTGTGTTGATTTGCCAGCAGATCCTCCCAAAACTGAACAATTAATTGTGTACATTAATTATGATTGCCTAAAAGCTTAATAAGAGTCTCCAAGATAGTATAGTGTAGAAGTAGAGAAGGCAGTCTGGAAATAGTAGCCCTGTTCTGCTCTGTGCTGGTTCCAGAGAGGTTTGAGAGGGTAAGGCACTGTGTAGATTTAAAGATTGACAAGAGGAGCTATTCAAAAAGGCAACTGAGATCTGGGAATAATCGTACACCAATAATTCCTAATGGAAACCATCTTTAGATAGAACACTATCTTTACCCAGGTACTTCTCTAAGTACACATTCATTCAATCAATTTAACAGCAATTTATTGAGATTCTTCTATGATTCAGGCACTGTTCTACACTCTGTATTCAGATCTGAGTAAAATAAAAACCTATGCCCTCCTACAGGTCACGTCTCTAATGAAAAGACTATAGGTAAAATATATGGCTGGAGGTAAGTGCTGTAAAGAAAAGTACAACAGGCAAGGGACACTGAGAGACAAGTTTTCAGCTGTTTCCCTTGGAGCCTGTGGCTTTTACTCATAGTTAAGTCATTGGAAAAAGCCAGGCATGGCGTCCCAGGACTATAATCCCAGCACTCAGGAGGCTGATGTAGGAGGATCACAAGTTTGAGGCCAAACATAGCAAGCACCTTCCTCAGGGCGGCAAAAAGATCATTGGAAGTGCCTAAGAAACAAGTGTCAGGATCTGACTTAAGTTCTCCCAGCAGGGCTCTCCCTGTTGTGCTATGAATCAGATAGAAAATTGTAGCCAACCAGGTGAGGGATAACAGCATCTTCCACCAGGAGGGGAGCAGTGCTGAGAAGTGTTCAGATGCTGAGCAGAGCTTGAAAGTTGAGCTCACAGGATTTTCTGTCAAGTTGAATGTGAAGAGAGAGAGGAAGAGAAGTCAGAATCACCTCTGTGTTTGCCATTTCAATGATGAGGACTAACTCCCTGGTCCTCACCACAAACTTGCTATAGTAGCCAATTTACAGATAAAGAAGCTGAGGCACAAAGGAGTTATGTCTGACCTCCCAGAAAGAGGAAGAAGCAGAGAGAGGATTTCACCTTCAGTGTCTGGTTCCAGAGAAGATACTGAGTTGCTTCTCTGATGCTAGTTATTCAGAAGAACTCATGGTATTTTATCTGGAAATCAGAAGTCTGCAGGGTCACTTGCTGTTCCTTGCAGGTATATGGAGGATTTGCATAGAAGAGGAAATCTGTCTATATCCCAGCAGTGCTGCTTCCTCTGTGTTTCTACATTTTCCTAGTACAGGCATCAAGTGGCAGTCTTCTTTCTGCCCTGTGACCCTTCCAACCGTGGCACTCCTCCAGCAACCACTGCTTCTTCATTCCTTTACCAGTTGTCTGAGACCAGACAGAGTGGAACATTAAGTGACTGTTGAATTAAAACCTTGCTTATTTCTTCAGTGGACAAATGAGAAACAGTGTGATGGTTAGAGAGACAGATCTCAGCCTGAGTAAGTCTATCTTTCCCCCATCTAGCAATTTCCAACATGTACAAATTTCCAGCTACAGGAGCATATTGGTCTCACTGAAATCACACTTCCCATTCTAGTCAGTGAGGAGCTCTTGGCCCCTAGTGACACTGAGGCCACTTCTCATCCATTCCATACCTCCAAAGTCACCTTCCAGTTCCTAGGATTTGTGCACCTGTGGCTTCTCCTCGCTGTGTCCTCTCCAATGGAGTGCATGAAGTGTTGGAAGGGTGCAAACTCTTGCTCTATTAACAGGAACTCAGAGTGCAAATTACACAAATCAGGCAACTTACAGATACATGTCATATGCCTCCAAATTCAGCTTGATACAAATTCAACTTGTATTCTTGGTTCATCATTGCAGCTCACACCTGAAGACAGAGACATTGCTCACATGTTGAAAGAAAAGTCCTTGCTTTCTAAGAGATGGAGAGAAGGGAACTAACACATACTATGCACCTACTGTGTTCTCCAGGCCTCACGTTTGATGGCAGGCATGACTTGCTTTAGTTAAATCCATATAGTAGACCCTTGTGGTAAACAGAGAAAAGGCCAGTGACCCAGAGAATTTCACCCAGAACATCCTGTTCAAATACACTTGGCTTCCCCTAACATCCTGAGGAATCTGTACCTTCTCTTTGGGGATCATGACTGTTCCTTCCCCCCAGGTGAGAGCTCTTTCTTTTCATGTTGTATCCGTCTTCCTGCATGCATCTGATCTGCTATTTCTTAGCTTCCCATTGGCCCTGATCACTTTCCCTTAGCTAGCCAAGTATCAAACTGCTCCAGTCTCTTTTAAAGAGTGCTCAGATTTCTAATAATTACCCTTTTTCAACATCTACCAAACTCTCTCTCATTTATAGAAACTCTCCCACATATCCTAGCATTTTGCATCTTCTTAAAGCAATATTGGCATACAGGTGGTGGCTCACACCTGTAATCCTAGCTACTTGGGAGGCTGAGATCAGAAGGATCATGGTTGGAAGCAGCCCAGGCAAATAGTCTGAAGACCCCATCTCCAAAATAACCAAAGCAAAATGGAGTGGAGGTGTGACTCAAGCATCTGCTTTGCAAGTGTGAAACCCTGAGATTAAGCGCCAGTCCCACCAAATATAAATATAAATATTTATACACACACACTCACATTTCATTTTAAAAAAGAAAAAAAAAAACTATGAATCAGAAA